CTCCCCGGTTTGTCTGGCTTGATCCTTGCTGGTGCCCACATGCTCACCCATGCTCGCTCCAGGTGCTGCACCAGGGACACACAGGCTCTGACCCTGGTCCGTGCTGGTGGCTGGCACTTGGTTTCTCTCACTCGGGTCTCCCCAGTCGGTGGCACCCAGGCACACGTGCCGCTGGCCCTTGGTCCTGGCCCAGCTGCTGACACCAGGCCCCCATACACACATGTGCACCAGCTAGGGAGCCCCTCACCCAGGAAAAGAGTTAGAAATGGAGTTTAATGAGAAGATAGGACAGACCGTGGTGACAAGGCGACCAGGCGCTGGGCATGGTCAGACAAGGGTACTGACCAGCCTCCTGTGTACGTGCAACCAGACCCTTTTATCCATATATCCCTCCATTTTCCCAGGCTTTTTCATCCCCAAATCCCCTTGATTCCTCCCTTTCTCACCTTTGGTTCCTCCCCTAAGCATCCCATAATAAGCCCTGTGCAATCCCAAAATGCTCTTCCCCTGCATCACCTCAGGTGTCCATACCCCTTTAGACAGTGACCCCCCTCAGTTCGAAAGGTGCTCCACTGATGACTCATCTGGGTGGGTTTCACACCTGGACCCTGGGGCTGAGGATCTCCTGTGATGCCTCTGGGAGGAGCCTGCACAAGGTACCCCTTCCTCTGAGTCTTTTAGTTTGGACTCCCCACCTGCCCCTGTGCTCCTCTGGGCTTGTGGACGTGGGCCTTTAGTGGGCTGATGTCTCTCCTTCCTGTGCTGGGCTGGGGAGCAGCCAGGGTGGGGTGTTATTCGGACTCCTTCACCTGCCGTTGCCTCTCTGTCCTCCTTCATGGGTGTGCAGCCGAGCTCCCTGACGCATAACCCAACAGGTCCCCTCTCAAACACGCCGTGGACGTTGCTGTTCAGGTTCTCAGCTTCCTCTGAAAACGAGCACCTGCAATTTTTTTTCTCTCTCAGGTTTCTCTTCAGACCTGGTAGCCTTTTGTGAAATGAGGAGCCTGGTGTCTGCTCCTGCAAAAGACCCAGCACAGTGGTGTGGTAACCACGACAAAGCTCTACGTTATCTGGCAGAGAGAAGTGACAAGAAGACAAGAGGGCTCCCATTCACAGCACAGGACTAGCAAGAGCTTGCAAGGAAAAGAGGGAACCTCTGGGAGGTCAGAGGTAAGTGTCTAGTGGGGGTGACTCCCATCTGTGGTCACTTACTGGTTTTGTCTGTGGATGCCACCAACCCTCCAGAGCACTTTCACGCCTGCATGACCAGCAGGGCAGGGGAGACTTTTCTGGGGAAACTTCTGCGTAAGGCTGCTGGTTACAGCGCCTGAGCTCTGCAGCACTCCCTTCCCTTTGTCCAGAAGGGACAACCCCTCTGCCCGCTGGGCATTTCCAGTAGCTCTTCCATGCCTTTCCACCTAACCGTTGACTAACTTTTCTCCTTCGTGCTCCAGGCTTTCCCCAGTATTGCTAGACGTTAGATGGGGCACGTATGGTGTCATCTACCCAGTGTGGCTGTCCCACACAGCAAAGACATGGCAGCAGGAGCGGACCCCAGCTCTCAATGGAAGGGTTTTGTCACATTCCTGGTAAGTGTTGCCAAGACTTCTGAAGGATGTGAATAACTACTGGAAGCCTTGGGCGTTTGCATTACCTCGTTTTCGTAAACAACATGCTGGTCCTTCGGCATGTGCAGGCTCATGGCTTTCTCGCTTAGGTCTTGGTGTAAGCCTTGCTCCTCTGCAGGTGTTCTGCGTGCACTATGTCTCTTCAGTCTGAAAAAAAAACCATTAACTAGTCACATAATGCTTAGAAACCTCCTGGCGTTTAGAGTGAATCTTGCTATTTTAAAGATGCTGTTACCACCTGGGTAGGTTTCCGGGGCAGGTATATAAAAACACCAACAGGAAACAGAAAGGCAAATCACAAGGTGAACACAGGCAAGCCATGTCATTTGCAAGAAAATGGAAATTACTCTTACTTTTTCTTTTTTCTGTTGATTAGTCTTATGATGCAATATATCAAGACTATTAAGAACACCACAGCTATGAAGATGGCCGTGATGATTATGCTCTTCTGAACACCTACAAAAAGAAACCAGTAAGTTCACATAGAACATAGAGGCATGTCAACATGTTTCTCGTGTCCTCTTCCAGAGGTTGGGACTGAAGTGAAACGTTCATCAGTTTGTGCTCATTTATTCTTTGAAGAAGAGAAAGGAACAGTGTAGCAACATAACACCGTGGTAGGTGAGGAATTATTTTGTTTTTGAAATAAATACTTCTAATGTCTCACATTTCCTTGGTATTGGGAGAACCAAAACCCAGCGTTTTTACTCCTGATCTATTTGCATTTCTCCTTCTGTGTGAAGAAGTTTTATCATGAGGAAAGTCTCCCATCCTTCCTGAGACATACCCTCCGGCAAGATTTTCCATGTGAAATGTTGTTCCCCAGCATCTGACAGCCAGGGGCCTGCTCTGCTGGTACCCTCCAGCTGTGGATACTGCTGGAGAGCTGATCACATCTGCTCTAAATCAGTGATTAAGTAGAAATATAAACATACAAAGACATATATACATATGTACACAAAAATCTACATATTTATTAGATATATATGTGCACACACCCACCACACAGACACAAAGGTACCACAGGGAGGAGTCTTCTGAATGGTTTCAAATAATGAAATCTTCACCTGGCATGAGATCTGAACTCCCAGAAAAACGTCTAGTGAGACCTACGTAAGTACAAGCTGCACTCCCACAATTGTACATCCTTTCCTAAGCGCTCCCCACTACGTGCTGCACCTCTCCATACAAACGCAGCCTACCTTCCTTTCCTTTTTCCAGGTGAACTTCCTTCTTTTCCCTTCCCTGTGGGTGGTCAAGGAGGCAGGTCAAGGCACGGAGGTGGTTGGCAGAGAAGGTAAGTCTGTTTGTCACTGTTACTGTTCCATTTGCGTTTTGGATGTGGTGTATTTCAGGGGACTCATCCAGGTCTGTGTCATCCAGCCAGGTGATTTTGGGGGCAGGCTTTCCTGTTGCTGAGCAAACTGCCGTGAGGAGACCCTCAGTGGGCAGGTGGGAATCATATTCCACTGTTAGCTCAGAAATTGCTAAAAGCGAAAAGAGAAGGTACTTTTTATACTCTGTGGCGAGTTTATCATCAAAGCTGGATCGGTCACCTCTCTGTATGGGGGTTCTTATCCAAAAGCATCTCCTGAATTATTTACCTTCACCTCCTCTGAGGAAAGGTGTGGCAATTCTGGAGACTATCGACTAAGGAGATGCTGCTGCATGGAAAGTCTCCATGTGGTGGGGGGGATAATGCCTTACATTACATCCGACTACGTCAGACCTGTGCTGAGTGCCAGAAAGTGAGAAGGTGTCAGTGGAAAACTTACTTTGGATGTTGAGGTATATATCTTTGTTGAAAGAGCCATGAAGGAACACGCTGAAAATGCATCTGTAATAGGACTCATCCTCGAATGTGAGATTTTGGAGTGTGATAGCTGAGGCCTTCAGGGTTGCTCTAGTGAAACGCGCCTTCTTCTGAAATGACCCTATCAGCCTCAACCCGTGCTTTGGACTGTAGGTGGCTATATTCTGGAAGGAAGACCCGTTTATCTTCTGCCAGGTGACTTGCAAAACATCCATCGAGAGCGAAAAGTTGCAATAGAAATTTGCCTCTCCACCAAGGGCTGCTGTAATAACGCTATCAGATTTCACAGCTTCCTTCAAACCTAGGAACACAGCAAACCCCAAAATCAGAGCAAGAGGAAGAGCAATTCACTGGGGGAAGGCTGTAGTGCCTTGAAGCGTCCAGTCACAGTGTTCCCATCTTACAGAGCACAGGAGTAAGGAACTCCACCACAGGGCCATGTGGCACACTGGGAGACCTCAGACATGTTGGTCTCATGGGTGGCCATGACATCATTAGCCTATGCTGTACATTTCTCATGGTGAGGAGGAAGGCAGCATGGGAACAGAGGTCAGGCAGGCTCCTTAGCAAGCACAGCAAACTTGAGCCCTGGGCTCATCTGCTTGCTTCTTCCCAGTGCGTTACTCTCAGCTCGCCTTTGTCCCTGGGAGCTCAGAAGTGTCTTCTACAGACCTGACACACAGCAACCACCCAGCGAAAGTGGCTCTTGCTCCTGAGAGCATCCCCGCTCCCCTCTCGCCGGCACCTGCATGTGTGCAGGGGGAGGCAGAGCAGCCCAGGGCACCCCGCAGCTGGCAGGCAGTGCAAATGGCTGCAGAGGGATAACCCCCTGCCCCAGCCTCTCCCAACAGAAGTGTGCACCGCCCAGACACGTGCATTAGAAATGCAAACCTGCTCCATCCCTTGTGCTGAGGAGCTTAGCATCACTTACAAAGAAAGGGAACATACGGGCTGAATACACAGCTTGAGTGCAAAGACAAACTGCCCTGTGCCCTCTCTGACCTGCATTTCCCGATTTTGCTGCTGACCAACCCTCAGATTATTAGCTACTCTTCCAGTTACCAATTAGTATTTTCCAGTCAGGATGGCATCTGGGTCTCTCTGCTTGCCAGGAAAGGCTGGTGATGCTCCAGAGTTAACCTTCTGCAGGGAAAGGGCGCTCCACTCACCTGTCACCTTCTCCTCCGACTGGCAGGCTCTGCAGAACAGCAGCAGGCAGATTTCGGCCCAGCAGAGCAGGGGAAAAAGCATCGTGGGACAGAGCAATTGCCCGGGAAAGCTCGCGCCCTTTTCCCGCATCCCTCAGAGGGCGGCTGGCATGCCCAGGGGGAGGGTTGAAGATTTTGCGCCTTTTTCCAATTGGGGCCAATCAGCAGAGCTGGTGGCAGAGAGCGGCCAGCCAGGAGGGAACTGTCCCCACGTTTCCTCCCGGGAGCCTGGTTAATCATTAATTGTGGCAGAGAGGCTGCGGGTTAGTGGTGCGACTTTGTCCCCCGCTGACTGCACTGGTTACCAGAGCTGGAAATAAATAGCACCCCCTTTTGTTTTTCCCCAGCAGCAAAGCTTGGTGTTGCCCCTTGTTAGCCCCATGCTGCTGAGCTCCGCTATGAGTGCCATCAGAAGGACTTGCACCTCGCAAGGCATGAATGTGGGATCTTCCTGCTAAGCGCAGGTGGTGGCTGGCAGAGAGGGGAGAAACGAGGGGCCACAGACCCTGGCAGCCCCCGCTGCCTTTCTTTTTGACAGGGAAGGGAGGGTGGGCAGGCATGCACTGCCTGTGGATCACCATCTCTGCGGCTTGCTGAGCACCACACTGGGCACTGATCCCGGGCTCACTTTCCTCCCCCGGACCTAGCACAGAGGATTCACAAGCAAGACGATTCTCCACCAAGAGGGCAGTGTGAAGGCACCTGCAGATGCCATTGCTTTGCCCCAACCCACGAGCACACCAAAACCACAAACTGGATTATGAAAGGAGTCTCTGCAGGGGGCAGGTTTGGCTGAAGTCTCCCCACCCCGAATGTGTTTGTATCTCATGTAATTCCAGAAAGGGAAAACCAGGGGTGCAACAGTGCTCCTGGGCTCAGGGGCAAGGTCTTGTGCCTGAGGGTTCCGCTGTAAACCCACACAGCACAGCCCCTGGCCACATGGTAATCCAGTGGTGAGATTAAGCACCACATGAAGTTTCTAGCTGTATTTACAGAAGGATACCCGCCATACTCTACACAATTTTTCTGGGCTTTTCTGTAAGAAAGGGAGGCGGCTATCTTACAGGAAAATATGAGAAGCAAATACCATACACATTCTGTCTTTCTCAGCTATTTATGAGTTGGACTCTTCCCTCCATCAGGAGGGGCAGCATAATGTTTTAGATTTGCAGGTTTCCACGGATTTACATTTCCCCCCTCCCCACCCCCGAGCCGAACCTTGTAGATTAATTCATATAAAGGCAAGATGGACTCCAGAGCATCCCTCCTGGCAGCCTCTGTTAGGGGCCCCGTCCAGCCTCTCATTGGGCCTCAGAGCACCAGCTTGCACTGCAGGCAAAGAGCAGGGAAGTGAAACCAGCATGCACCACCACGTCAGAACCTTTCCACAGGGTCCCTCGGGGATTTTCAGCTTCCCTCCCCTTCCCTGGCTCTATCATGTCTCTCCTTTGATGCCGGTTCCCATCTCAGTCTCCTCTTTCCCAGACTTCTGCTCTTGGGCAGAAGGGCCTGCCTTACCCCAGGGGAGCAGCCAGGCAGGAGCATTTGGGACCCACCTCTCTGCGACTAGGAGCGAGCCCCCAGGGGCCTGCCAAGTGGTGCTCTGCAGCAAACTCTATGGCACGTAGTAGAGAAAGCCATGGCAGCTCACTTATGCCCCCTTTCCCAGAGTCAGAATTGCCAACCAAATTCAAGCGCTTTATTGACGAACCAAAAAACCTCAACAAAAACAAGCATCAGAGATTCTTGCAGAAGCAACTCGAGACAAGAAAGGTAGGGCAAGGACAAGAGAGGATGCAGCTAATGCTGCAGAGGTCACACAGGGACTTTCCTGGGTTAGGAGAGCCAAAGAGCAAGTGGAGGTGAATACACGCCATGCACATGGGCAGCTGCATAGGGGCGCGAGCTCGCTGCCCCAAGCAAACATCCAGTCCTAGCTAACGCTAAGCAGCCAACACAAACGTCACTGCAATGTGGATCTTTCGCCCAAGATACAGTAGACAGAGCAGAGCAGATCTGCTCCTCTCTCATCAGTCTCCGGAGCCCGGTTGTTCCCAGAGATGGGAAAGCAGACCCACGTGCAGGCACCAGTAGAGGGTCACACGCATAAAGAGTTTCGTGGAGGTATATCTTCAGTTTCTTTCCTGTGAGAGGGGAGGTTGGTGCAATCGTCTTAAATTGTGCCCGCTTCTCCCCTTTTAGAAACTCTTCATTATCCAGGCAGCAAAATGGGCTCGGGTATTTTTATTACATCAGCAATCTCTACCCTCTGAATCTCACTGCTTTTTTACCCAGGCAAGGATCCTGCTGGCCAACTGCGTGCTGTGGGGCAAAACATGCCCCACCTGCTCACATACAAAACAACAACATGCAAAAATGGCACTTGCACCTCTAAAAGATCATGGTAACAGGTCAGGTTATTGAAACAGAATCTGTTCAACTTCTTAAGTTGTTTCCCACATCCCTCCTCCCCAAATTTTACTTTATTTTATGTAGTTCCTGAAATTTGTACACAAAAAGAAACTGGCTGGTTTTCTCTTTTAAGGCATTTATCAAAGGTCCTGGAAGGTGCAGTTGTTTGTTTAAAAAGAACTATCCTGGAGGACTGCTTGTCCAAGCCAGACCTCAATGCTTTCAACTTTTCAGGTAAAGCAGCATGTTTGGACTGTAAGTACTGGAGAGTCTGACCTTAATTAATTAATTTTTATTTTCTGAAGGAAAAAAAAAATCTAAAGTCTGCAGAACTGCCCTAGGATTAAATTAAAAAGATGACTTTCTGGGGGCACTCTCTTTTTCAGGCTTTAGTTTTGCTATTTCTGCTGACGCCAAAGAGGAGAATTGCTAGTGAAGAGAGAGACAGTCCATCAGCAGTTTTATAGCACTATATTTTCTCCCTCTTTCGGCTGATTTATGTTTCTTGTTTTCAGTTCTGCCAGAGACCAAGGGGCACCCTGCTCCTGGCCACAGCCTGTAGACAAAAGGGTGGGGAGGAAAGGAAATGTTGGCTCGCTCCTGGCTGCAAGCCCAGACAGGCCAGCTGCTGAGCCGAGAGGGGCAGACATCAGCCTGGCAAATGCCCTGCAGACGCTCTGAGAGCAGGTTATCACTGAAAGGGTTCACCCCCCTCGTTTCCTGTTGGTAGCATGTTTGCTTCAGTTAGGAAGTTATGGGGGTTTTATACTTTTGCTCAGAAACCGACTGGGGAACGTGGAGTGCAATACCCAGTGCCACCTCCCTCCTGCAGCATCATCTCCCAGCTGTGCCCAGCCCTCTCCTTCCCTGGCTGCATTACCCATAGCCAGCCTCGTGTCATACACCAGCCGGCACCAACCAAGGGGCAAAAAGAGACCGTCCACCGCTAATTAATTCTGCAGACTTCGCAAAACAGGACACTTGCTCCTGCACTTAAGTGGTACGCTTACCAAGCACTCCTCAAATTCCCTTTCCCAAGCTCTGGGCACACCTTCTCTGTGGTTGTCAAACTGGCCAAACTTCTCAAGCTAATTAGTCTGCTAATGCCCTGCAGAAGTGAGAGGCCACAGAGCAGTATAGATCCCGGATAACATTCCCATTGCAAAGCTAATCTTGTGAGAAGCGTTTCTCCTGGGAGCAGCCAAGTCCTTAGGAATTGTTTTCTAACAAATTGCCAACCTGAAAAATTTCCTGGGGAAATCGTTCCCCCTTTTGGCTCCACTTAGAGCCCCTTCCCCTGCCCGCAGGCTCTGCACGTGCCCTTTTACCCTGGTCCCCTCTCCTTCCCTCTGTCCTCCCTAACTCCCACTTCCCAGCTCAGCCCTAGATGGAGAAGAGCAAGGGGTGCCCAGCAGGGGAGGGGTGATCCAGGGAAGAGGACAGCATCTTCAAAGGTGTGATGAGATGGACTAACATCAGGGAGAGGAAACAACCTCGAACAGACCAGGAGAGGCAAACTATGTGGCTGGGTCAAGTAACAGCAAAGCAAAGGACAAACTTTTTGTTGTTTGCAGCAGAGGTATTGCACTGGTTGATAGTACATCAGGTCTGGATCCCATGGACTAGAAAAAGAGCAAAGGAAGAAGAAATATGCTAAGGGAATGAAGGAAGCTGTAGAGAATCAAGTAGAGGGTCCCCAGACCTTCTCGCTTACCTTTCAGGAAAAACATCTGTCCCACTAGTGATGACTGGTGCTGTTTCCTGGCAGCTTCTGGCTTCAGTTTTTCCAAGTTGGCCTCCTAATCCATGTCTGCCAGTTCCACAGCAGAATGATACAGTCACAAACCTGAGACTAGAGGTGTTAAAACTTCACGATGGCCGTAAGTTCCTTCTGCTGGTCCAGAGACCGCTGGAGAGCCTGGTGCATCACCCCTCTTCAGGTTGGGATGTTATCACCCGTGACCCAGGATTTGTCCCCCCTTCTTTTGCATCCCAGTCAGAAGGTTTCCACCCCAGAGGAACCTGCAGGGAGCTCAGCACTTTCTGTTGGTGATGCAGTGAGCTCTTCGTTTCCCCATGCAGCCTGAGCTAGACTCTGAGGAATGCTTTCTGATTGTCTTGACGTGGTGAGAAATCTTTACAATAAAGATTTTCAGAAAGAAATATTGAAGTTATGTACATAGATAAATACTAAAGCATTGAGTAGAGAACTGACACCTTGCTTCTATTAATAAATCTTTTCTAGAAAGGAGACAGCCTACATTTAATACCCTTAAAATTAAACTGTTCTGAAGTAGATATGAAAAGATCTTCAGAAAACTATACTAGGACATTCCTCCTTTTCTCCTCTTTGTGTATAGGTTCCGGTATTTAGAGAAAAACCTGTAGCAAACAAAAATATTTCATTTTACTCAGCTGATGGGCAGCTAAAACCCCACCACATTCTCACTTACGAAAATAGCTACATTCCTGAAGACAAGGAAGGCTCAAGGCAAACTGGTTTCTTTAAGCCTAAAATGTTACCCTGGGTGTTTATGATAAGATGCTGGACATTCTGTAATTTATTTGAAGGATAATATCAAATAAAATATTCTGACTGAAAAAAAAATCTCTAATTTTTAGTCTAAAAGTGCAGGGTTTTTTCCTGCAAGCTTTTCATTGCATCTTAGTCTTACATGTACAATTTCAAGTGCTCTTTTACTAGACAAGCTGCCTTTTCTTCCCTTTTCCTTAGGGTGGTTAAGGACTGCAGCTTCTGACAAGTTAGGGAAGTCAAAACTCTGTTTGTATCGTGTATGGGTCTTAGACTGAGGAATCCCAGAATTTTCAGGTGGCCTTTTTCAAAGCTGAGCAGACTACAACAGAGTCCATCCGCAGACAGCTTGGAAAAGAGTTCAGTGCTCCTTTCACACACAGCTTTATATAAGCAAAGATGAAAGCAGTGGAGATATGAGAAGGCCCTTTGTATGGCTTCCAAAATACGAGTAATTTCTGGTATACTAAGAGTGAAAACAAAAATATGCTTGATTTTTATCTGCCTGGTTCGATAGTCTCATTTATGAAAGAGAAAAATGCACTCAATTAGTGTAATTCTCTTATTTCAGCTGATTTGTGGGGACTCAGTGCTGAAAACTGAATAAAAAAAAGTAGATTGTATTTTCTTTCATGTCTGAGTTCATAAGAAAATTTATTGGTGTGGTATTTAGTAGATGAATCATTCACCCAGGGTCATGCAACAGAAAAATGGTGAATGGTGCTTTCAATCTTCTATCACCAAAACAAAGTTCCTTTTCACTGTGTGGATTTAGTCCCATGCCTCTGCCAGCAGTGGTTTCAGGAAAAGAATATTCGTCCTATTTCAGCCAGTGACTTGTAAAACATCTAAGGGCAGCATTTCAGCTACATTTCAAAGTCACAACTTCAGCTGGAGCTTCTGGGGTGATTCCTTTACACCCTACCGCTCTCTTAGAACATGGAACCTGGTACCCAGGCAGAGAAAAATATGAACACGGCACATCTCTGAAACAGCCTGGCATGCCAAAACAGGAACCTGGACATTTTATACAGCCTGAGGACCCTTTATTATATACCAATATAT